AATGAAAATGCATAGATAAATAAGCCAAACACCAAACTGAGAAACTGATGATCACAGGCAAATGACGCAATATACTTTCTGAGCGTAAAAGATCTATCTAACAACGGACAGAGCGAAATTTGATTCCCTCCAAATTGTATCAACAATTATAGTATTATCTGATTCTTGTAACTACAAGATAATTCTTTGTAAGGAAGAACAACGCAATTCAAAACAATCGTTTCTGGTGCAATCGAAACATCTGATCCCAAGATGGTAAGTGATGGGTTAAGGCGGCCATCCGACAAGAAAAGTGGCTTATTTTCAAGCTGAAAATAAAATGTTGAGATTTAATTTAGAAATCTCGAAATTATGAGAGAAAATTTGAATCAGAGGTGGTGCTAGACACATTATGGATAATGCGGCTACACCGCTAATTTATTTCAAAAAATGCTTCGTCTACACTCAATAGATGAGCGCGAAAAAAATGGGAATTTCATCAGATGCCCTAACCTTTGCAAAAGGAAGATTTGGATTGGGTGCAAGGGGAATCCCCTCTACACGGGACCATGCTCCTATTACAGAGCGCCAACCAATGACGGAATGCAAAACGCAAGCATGTTCATTGACAACTGCATCAGCAAGGATAATAGACTCCTGCAAATGATGTTACAGGCTAGGAAAATAGATTAGAGAAGAATGTCTAACCTTAATTCTGACTCCTTTCCCAATCTTTGCATTAGGTCCTATGCTAACATTCGGTCCTATTTTAGCCGATTTATCCACCTGTAAAGGACTATAGATAAATCCCAGCGAGAATTATGTATATACAAAGAAACTCACCTCAGCACTGGGATCAATGAACACATCACCAACAATTTGTGCCCGATCCTTACACAAGCGAGCTGCATATCTCTTTTTAAATAAGCGTAAATAATGTCGATTAGCATAAAGAACAGCCCTAAAAATGCGCATAGGAGATCACATAAAAAACAGAAGTTGTGGCGATTGACAACGACGGTTCAAGTTACTACCCAAAGCGTGCCAATGCTGGTGAGGCTAACATCATTGAGAGTAATGTTTCAGAAAACGATGTAACTTCATAACAACAAACTGCAAAGGTTTG